ATATATATATAAATACAGATACACATGCTCATGTGTATGTTTTGTCAATGCTGGGTCTAAGAATCTTATCGCAGTGTGATGAGTTCCCACGTTTAGCCAGCCGGAGACTGGGTGTAACGACCATGCACAGGTGCATTGAGTTTGGTGACACGCGGTCGCACAGTCTTTCAGTAGTAAGTCTCGTGCCAAAAGCCACCGGCTTGAAGAATTCTTGGATCCAACGCTAAGGCTGTGTTGGGATTCAGAATTTCGCGACTGCATGCCTGTGGTTTATGTGCTGTCACAATAGACAGTCAGTAGCCAGCATCCGTTGATCAATGAGCAACCACTGAAGTCTCACTACTGCCAATCAACAGCCCTGATTTTAACACCAGATGCTTTGCTCATTGGCAGTCGTGTTCTTGTTATCATGTTGTGAAAATGCTGCCTAGACCCTACGTAAGCGCAGCAGCAATGATCCCTGTCAGGTGGATGATGCGTATGCGCTGGCTGTGACCATCAACCGCTATCTCGGCAAACCTGTCGCCAAGCACCTCCTCAAGCAGTGAATATATCATCTTGGGAAGGTTTGTTATTACGGAGTATACTTTTGCACAAGGTTCATCCATCTTTCAATCTGGCCGTACTGAGCTATGTGGGTGTGTGTGTGTGTGTTTGTGTGTGTGCGCGTGTGTGTGTGTGTGTGTGTGTGTGCGTGTGTTTGTTTTTCATCTATTTGTTTTTACCTGTTACCATATAATCTTCTTATTCATTTCCAAAATTCAATATAAAATGCTGGCTTTCGTCAGCAAGGCTTATGTCTCGCATGTAGGAGTCACTAACGACCGACGACAAGTAACCCAAAAATCACTAATTGTCATCGTCAGCATCATCATCACCATCATCATCACCGTCATCATCGTCATCATCATCGTCATCATCGCAATAATCGTCATCATCACCATCACTATCATTACCGTCGCTGTCGCCACCGTCGATGTCGTCGTCTGGTCCGCTTAGTATTCAGCGATAGCAGTAGCATCAGGAGCAGTCCCAGCAGTAGTCGTGGTGAAGTGGTGCGGTGTTGCTGGTACTTGCACTAGCAGCAGGAATACAACAGCTAGCAGCGGTACTCAGACTATTACTGTCTTTGCCAGATACGCTCGCATTCTCCGGCGCAGGTCTCGTTGTAGGGGGTTTTTCGGAAGCCAATTGGGAGTTTCCGAAATTAGGGGACCCTAATATAGTACCCTAAAATAGTAGGATCCTTATTACAACGGCCCCAAAATAAGGTACCCCTAATTTTCGGAAACCCCCAATTCCTTCTGCGCGCTCGGCGTCTGAATGGGCAACGGTGCCTCTACCGGCGAGTTGAGCCAGGCTTCCTCAGAGCAGGTTGCAGCCGTTGCTTCTGGCTTGCCTTCGTCCCACCGTGATAAGGTCCAGGAGGCCTTGCGGATGATGGCTCCTGGGCTAAGGCACGAAGATGGTGAGATGTCCAGCTACTTTGCCAGAGGATATGGAGATGGAGAATGCATTCAGGGACAAAGATAGACGGAGGATGTGGTGTCAGCAATTCCCACCTATCGCTGTGACACCGCAGATGGACCGGTGCATGTTTGGCGGCATGCCTTTGACTTGCGTGGTTTGGGAGATGGAGTTTGCAAGGACCCGCTCACACTCTATCACTACACCAATGGCTTGTGCTTCAGGAACGTGGGAAACATGACGCAGTCGTCTTCTCAGCTATTTGCATCTTTGCTTGATGAAAGGGCCCATTTCGGGAAAGGTCTATATGCCAGCCAGCACGAGCCCGCTGTCTGGAACTCCCGCACGCGCATCCTGCTAAACAACTACAGCAACGGCGATCCCCTACGTGACCCATTAGATGCAGAGGGTGCTCAAAGGGTCAGGGAGTGGGGTGATGAGAACAGGCACGGGCACCGGGCTGCATATTGCATACCACTCATCGTACCAAGAGACATGGCCTACAACATCTTCCAGAGACAAACGCCAGACATTGCCGCGAAGGTGGTGGAAGACAGAAACGGAGAGACCAGGCACGTACGCCTTGGAGAAGATTACAAAGGACGCCCCGTGCATTCTAACCGGGATGTCTGGATCATCCGGATTGCTGAGGCCGGAGCAGTCGGACATGCACATGCGAGCACCGATGATGTCATCAATCTGCTGGAGCGGCGTCTGGCAAAGTTGCGAATGTCAGCAGGAAGCCTTGACAGCAAGACCTTCGACTGTCTCTCCGAGTTAGGCCACAGATATCAAAGCCGTGCGCGTTTCGATGAAGCTGAGCGACTTCTACGAGAGGCTTTTGAGGGAAGACTGGAGAAGTTGGGCGAGTCGGACCGCGGCACTCTAAACAGCATGGCGGGGCTGGCATCCGTGCTGCAGGACCATCACACGCCATGCCTGGCAGAGCAGTGGTTCGTATAGGATGCATTCGTATGCGGCCTAAATCGAACATCCGTCAGCATTAAGCCCTAAACCCTAAGCTCTAAACCCTAAAAGCCTATAAAGCCCTGAACCCCAAACTGAATGGGCTCTGAACCCTGGACCTAAAATTGGAAGCTCCAGACTCCAATCCTACCAGCTACGATAGGGGCCTTAATAATTACCTATACTATTTTTTTTTTTTTGGGGGGGGGTTCCTCATTCTAGAATATAGGGGCCTGAACAATTACCTATAGTGTT